TGAGTGTGACATTTAGGCTCACAGACATCCCAATATTTGCAGATTCACTGTTCGGCACCCCGAGGTCAAGGTATCCTGATACCTCTCAGGCTTGGACTCCCTGAGAGTTGGAGGCCAGCTTGGAGTTTTTGGTTGTTTTTAAGTCTGGGTCTCACGATGCAGCCCAGGCTTGCCTGGAACCTGCCATCTGCCTGCCTTAGCCTCCTGAATGCTTCGGAGACTCTAGGCATGCAATGTAGTGCCGGCTCCTCCTAGTTTCCACCGTACTGAACACAGATCTGAAGAATCCAGGGCGTGGAGGCCTCATCAGGGCCTCCCAGGCTTTTCCCAGGGCTGGCTTTGGCATGAGCTTGGAACAACTCCAGATGCGGGTATCTCCTCAAACTAGACTCCAGCCCCCTGGCCTGAGCACCTCACGCTCAGGTTGAGAAGGTCACTGTCAGCTGTGTGGCCACCCTCAGATGCAGGCACACAGAGCGCACACGCACGCGCTGCGTCGAGGCTGGCTCTCATCCTGTAAGGGGACATGGCTTTCCCACCCTTAGCCTGGGAGTCGGGGTGGCCAGCCCTTGCCTTCCAGTCCCTGTCCACCAACCCTGTGACGCTGAGCCCCTTCCCTAGGCTAGGGTGTGCGGTTCTATGTCACTCGGCAATCATGACACCTGAGAAATAAATGTCTTGGGTGATTCTGAGCTGTGTGAAAGCCAGAGAAAGCAGGGACATAAACCAAGGCTTCTGGTAACTGCCTCATAACCTCCTGCCTGTTCACTGCCTGAGACACTATTGTAAGTCCATGACTGTCCTGTCACCTGAATCCCTGACCCACTTTTCTCCATTAAGGAAGTTCTATCTTGTCTTCTCATCCTCCATCCTCTCGCTCCCTGTCTCTCTGTGTGTGTGTCTCTGTTTTTCAAGACAAGGTTTTTTGATATAGCCCTGGCTGTCCTAGAACTAGCTTCATAGATCAGGCTGGCCTCGAACTCACAGGGATCCACCTGCCTCTGCCTCCCGAGTGCCAGGATTAAGGGTATGTGCTGCCACTGCCTGCCTGGCCTCATCTTCTCTTCTTTGAACCTCCACCCTAGCTGGGTCCCTCCTCACTGAGGTCTGAGGAAAGAGAATGATGATGTTCAGGGTCCCCGTGAGCCCTCTCCTCATCCTCTCAAGCTAGCTTTTTGTCATGTCCACTTTGCAGCTAAGAAGAGGAGGCACAGAGAGGTCGAATCACTTGCCCAAAGGCACACAGGCTGGAAGAGCAGAAAATGATCTCTGTTGGGGTGTCTGGTTTTGGTCTCTAAGAGGACACGGCCTGTGTAGAAGACCAAGGTGGGCATTGCCGCAGACTCTCCACGTTGTCAGAATGAATTACTTCCAGTAGCTCGGGCGGTGGAGGCGGGGGCGTGGAGCAGAGGACGCAGGGCTGAGGATCAAGGGCATCAACAGCCAAGGCCGGTCACTGGGGGCTGTGAGCATCAACCGGCCTTTGCCAGGAGACAGTGATGGATGTGCTAGGTCCCAGCCTTGATCGAAGGGTGAGCGGAGACCGGGCCCCCAGATGAGTACAAGGAGGAGCGGGAAGTCCCAGGGACCACAGCGAGGCTGGAGGAGCTGGGCTGGGGCGATGGCCCTGGCCTGGGTGGAAGCCAGGAGATTCGCAGGGTCTGTGAATACCAACAATCACTAATGACCTCACTCGGCCCGCAGGACATGGTGCAGGCTGGAGCCGGCTTGTCTCCTGGTGCCTGACTCTGCAGGTCCCCGGGTCAGTGTTTGGGTCTGAATAAGAGCTGAGAGCAATGAGGGTGGTGGATGTTTGAATCAGACCCTTGTTTCTTACTCTTTTTAGCTGTGTGACCTCGGATGGATCACTTGGCCTCTCTGAGCCTCAGGCCTGTGCACACAGGAACGGGGATGTGGTCCACGGGCCTGTGGGGTCTGAGGCAAGTTGTGGCTCTGGAAATAAGGGTGCCTCACATTAGAAAGGGGTAACCATGCCTGAACTGCCATATCCAAAGGGGGTGATACCAAAAGCTTCCCAAGTCCCCAGTTGAGAGGAAGATATTTATTTTCTTTATTTACTTTGTGTGTGTACACATGCGTGTGTACATGCGTGCATGCACGCATGTAGTTGTCAGAAGACATCTCTTTTGAATTGGGTTCTCTTTCCACCAAGTGGGGTCCTGGTGCTTGAACTCAGGTCATTGGGCTTAGGCAGGCAGCAAGCACCTTTACTGCTCAGCCATATCACTCACCCTGATTTTATTTTTAATAGGGAAACAAGCCATATAACCCTCAAAGGATTTTCCTTCTTGGCTCTTAAAAAAAAAATCTAACATCTTCATTTCCATGCCCCCCTTTTAAGCTAATTTGTGGAAAATTAAATCGGGGAACTCACAGCGGCTGGCATTTTAATTGGCTCCTGTCTGGCTTCTTTCTCGGATCCTCTGATTAGCCAAGTTGCCTCCATTAAACTCGCCATGCTCCAGTTAGCCTGGTTCCTGGTCCCTCCCCAGACCTGGACAGCAGTGCCACCGACCCAGCTGATTCCCTACCTGGCTCTCCTGCTCCCAGAGACCCGAGAAGACTTTGTGGCCTGTGCTGCCTGGGAAAGGGGTTTACCTGGGGCTGAGTGTCCCCAGTTCACCAGAGTACCTTGCTTCCTTCCTCGAGCACCTCCAGGATAAGGGCCCCACAAGGCGGGAAGGAGGGTCTCCCCATCGTCTCCCAGACTGTGCATTTCCTAATGCATCCATCACCCCCCCCCCCCACACACACACACTTCTGGTTTAGCCAGTGGGGGAGCTGTGCAAGCATGAAGATCTGAGTCTGATCCCCAGCACCTATATAAAAAAGAAAAGCTTGCATGGCAGCAGAAACGGGAGGACCCCTGGGGCTTGCTTGCCGGCCAGCCACAAGCTCCAGATCCTGCACGAGAACTTGTCTCAAAATAAACAAGTTGGGCTAGGCAGTGGTGGCGCACGCCTTTAAACCCAGCACTCGGGAGGCAGAGGCAGGAGGATCTCTGAGTTCGAGGCCAGCCTGGTTTACAGAGCAGGCTGTCCAGGGCAGCCAAAGCTACACAGAGAAACCCTGCCTCAAACAAAACAAAACAAAACAATACAATACACAAGTTGATGAGGAGTGGGAGGTAGCTTAGTGGATATAGGGCTGGCTGAGCAGTATAAGGGTAAAGGTTCAGATCCTCGGTAGTGATGTCGAAGCTGGGCCCTCTTCTCTCACTTGTGCCCCTCACTGCTGTGGACACAGCGAGCCTGGGATGTGCAAGGTGCCTGTACACCCGGCACTTTGGAGGCAGAGATGGGAGAGACAGCGGGTCCTTTGAGGGAACAGGCTAGCTCTGGGCTCAGCTGAGAGATCAGTGAAGTGAAGATTGATTGAGAAAGACACCCCAAATCAACCTGGAGTCTCCATATGCGCGTGCACTTCCACACATATGAACCCCCCCCCCCCACGAAAACATGTACATCACACAGACCCACTAAAAAACACCAGACTGTAAGTCGGGTGACTCTTGAGAAAGGAAATCTAGGGCTGGCCTCTGGCCTCTGGCTTCCACACGCACATGTGTACACACACACACACACACACACACACACACACACACACACACGGAACATTCCCCTTGTTGCAGGCTTTGCACAGCTGTGCAGTGCTTTGTATGTCCACCTCCTGTCCCATGCTCCCTGGAGAGCCTTGTCTTAACCTCGTTGACAACCAAGGAGGAAGACACTATTATCTTCCCATTTTGTAGATGAAGAAACTGAAGCTCAAAGAAGCCTAAGTAACTTGCCCAAGGCCATTTTATCAAGTCATTTTATCGATAGAGCCTGAATTAGAACTTGGATAATCTCTTCCCCCAAACCCCCTAAACTGGATCTGTTTCTTAGCCACAGACCACGTTTCTTCTGGTCCTGAAATCTTCCAGTGTCCCTCGGGGACTTAGGCACCAGGCGCCCGCTTCCTTTCCCCCCCTGGTCGCCTGCCCGGTGCGGGTGAAGGCCCAGCAGGTGAAGACTGAGTGGGTGAGAGGGGCCAGCAGCACCCCAGAGCTCCCTCCTCCGCCCTGCAGGGGGGCCTCAATCAGCACCAATCAGCCACCGCTAATTATCCTGTCCGTGGGGAGGTGAGTACTTGCAGTGAGAGCGAAGAGTGAACGCTGTCAGCAGGGGCAGGTGGGGACTAGGTCTTCCAGCCCTGGCTCACTGCGGTGGGACCGGGTGCGGCCTTCTCTCACGCCACCCCTCACTCCTGTGGACACAGCAGGCCTCTCCACCGGGGTCGTGCAGGGGAGGAAGCCCTGCGCTCTGGAAGTTAGGGTCACAGTCTCTGGCTCAGCCAGCGGTCTGGTTTCAGCGCTGGTTGCCAGGTTACAATGCACTTGACTCCCACTCTGCTCACTCCTTCAGCGGAGGAGGCAAGACTGACAAGTGCTTGGAACAGTCACGGCGAGGGTTGTCTGTGGTACAGGTCCTGGTGCACAGTAAGTGCTCAATAAAGGCAGCTTGTGCCGGACCCTTGTGTTTTATGGTGCCTCATTTCATTCGTAGAACTGCAGAGATGAGGGAGGCATTGTGACAGGTGGGGGAATTGAGGCTGGAGGTGTCGCCGGCCCCCATCCCTTCATCCCTCACGTGTCCAGCGCACACTTCCACCATGTTGGTTCTTCCGGTCTCGGCTTGTTCCAAGTGTTACAGACACTTAGAACACATCACCGCTGCCATTTAGGGGGTGGGGTCCGAGCCACTGAGGGATCCCTTCTGCAGGGAGACTTCCCCACCCCCTGTGGTAGCTGGGAAGGATGTAGGGGAGCCCAAACTAATGGCAATCTTTGGGGTTTGGGTGCTTAGTGACCCCTTTCTCATAAGTCTTGCATGTAAATCTCTTTCATAATTACACTGAAAGCTATCAAACTAATTTAATTTCTTTGAGAAAATAAATAGCTAAAGTGGCCGTAGGTACCACATAAACCCCTCAGGCAGAACGGGCCAAGATTGCAGCAGGGCAGGCCTGACTGGCCACAGCTCACTTAATAAGCACATATTTATTGGGCCGGGGCTCCCCTGGACTAGGTGGAAATCTGCTGATTCAGCGGGAAGAAAGTGGCGGAGTGTGATGTGGGCTACAGGACTAATGTGGGGAGGAGGGAAGGGAGATGAGGGAGAATGTGATGGGCAATTAATTATCTGTCTTTGTACATTATAGCTTTATTTTATTAAGCAAGTATGCAAACGCATTTTGATGACTGCCTTTGCCTGGCCCACCTCCCCGATGACAATTATCTGAGGTTTAGCCCTTGGGGAGCCCTGTATATGAAATCCAGTAGGGCTGGGCCAGCTCTCTCTTCTCCTCACTTGTTGGCATATTTGCTTATCTATTTTATTTAGGTTCTTAGACCTCTACCTCTCTTTCAACCCTTATTTCTTCTAACATCCCAGCACCAGGTAGGAGAGACATAAGGTTAGATGGGAAAGGGGCATAGACCTCTATAGGCTATGTCCTGCTGATTAGGGTCATTGGGTTCCTTGGGGCAAGTCCAGTCTTCTGTAGTCAGGATGTCCAGCAGCAGCAGCAGCAGCAGGACAAACCAGCAGCAATGGGGACAGCAACAGGAAGAGCAGCAGCCGACTGTCTCTGGGCTCTGGCATTCCCTCTCAGAATTTCCAGGATTAAACTATCTGCAGCTGGCAAAGATCACGCCCCTGCTAGTGCATGAGACAATCATAGTTAATGTCTGTGGACAAACTGAAGCATAACCCACCTGGGATTTAAAAAAAAAAAAATGCTTACATAACATAATTGGATTTTTTTTTTTTTTAAACCCAAATTCTGACTACGCTTGCTTGCTGTGGCTCTCATGCTCCCTGTATCCTCAGACCTAACCTCTTTGCTGGGCTTATGCAGAGCCAGTGGGCGGGACCTTCCTGAGAATACACCTCAGCATCCTGGACCAATCCCTGCTGCCAGGGCTCAGGGTCTGGCTCCATTTTCTTTGTGCTGGATTCTGGCGGCTCCTCCAGCCTGCTCTCCTGTTTTTCTGAATCTTGGCTGGTATTCCTCAGCCACTAGCCTTCAGCCAAGCTCCCTATACCTCAGGTCCTTGAACCCTTTAAAATGCTGGGTTCTCTTAGCCAGCAATCTTGCCCACTCACCTCTTTATTTCCTTCCTTTTCATTCTGTTCTTCTTGCTGTCAATCCCTCCCTCTCTCTTACCCAGTTTCACTAGTCTCTCCTCCCTTTACCCTCCACTTCATATTTCCCTTCTCCTTCTGTCTTCTTTTTGCTCTCTCTTAAAATTACATCTATCCATCTTCTATTTTATCATCTATCTATCTATATTCATCCATCCCTCATCTCTCATTACCTATCATGTATAACCTATCTATCTCCTATTTATGTATCTATGTATATCTATCTACCTACCTATCTACCTATCTATCTATCTATCTATCTATCTATCTATCTATCTATCTATCTCCTATCTATCTATCTCTATTCATCCATCCATCATTTGTCTTATTACCTATCATGTATCACTATCTATCTATGTATCTATCTAATCTAATCTATCTATCTATCTATCTATCTATCTATCTATCTATCTATCTATCT